TTTTGGCAGAACTGGGAATTGAACTCAGGCCCTTGTGCTTGCCAGTTAAGTATTTATTCCACTGAGCCATCTCCCTGGCCTCAGTATTTTTCTTTCTGTGTCTAATTTATTTAATTTAGTAGAATGCCCTCCAAACTCATATTGTTTTGGAAGTGAATTTTATTCTTTTTATGTTGAATAATATTCCATTATAAAATACTTTTTCTTCAATCATTCATCAGCTGATGGACACTTATGTTGTGTCTATAGCTTAGCCTGTAAATAGTGCTGCAAGAAGCATGAGAGTGTAGATTTTTATCGACATACTGATTTTATTTCCTTTGCATATTAATCAGTGGTGGGATGGCTGGATTATATGGCGATTCTACTTTTAAATTGTAGAGCTTCCATACTATTGTATATATGGCTCTATTAGCTCATATTCCAACAAACATTGTGCCAGAGTTCCCTTTTCTAACATCTTCACCAGCATGTGATATCTTTTATATTCTTGATAATAGCCATTCTAACACAGTTAGGTGATACTCTATTGTAGTTTTGATTTTAATTTCCATGGTGCTTAACAATGTTGAGCACCTTTTCATATACATAATGCCAGCCATTTGCACATCTTCTTTGGAGAAAGGGCTACTTAGGTCTATTGTCCATTTAAAACTCAGATTATTTCATACTGAGAATGGAGTTGCTTATATATTTTTAATTTTTTTGTTTTTTAAAGTATACAAAGTGGTAAAAAAAGCATATTAAAAATGATGCAAAATTTCATTAAACACAGTAATAGGTAATAGCCAATGGTTGTTGTATTGCATGATGTTAACTTCAAAATAGTTGTTTACATTACCAGATATACACTTGAAGTTAGTGGGAAAAAAGTTACAAGAAATCAGAAAGAGGAAAAAAAAATTTTAAATTTAAGCATTAACTTCTCCTTTCAACAGACCAGCAGAAATCATCAGTACAATTATCCAAACCATCCTGCATATATACTTTATATCTCTTTCCTTTGAATTTTTTTGTCCTTTTCCTCATCACAGTTTTTCCTTCCCATTAAACAGATTCTTTCCCCTTCACAGTATTTATTGTGCCTTTTAGGTTTTATTTATTCTTTCAGGTTCTCACACTAGTGAGACAATACAATGTTTGCACATACAGGTTTGATTTGTTTCACTTACTTTTACTTAATTATTTTATTTTATTTTATCTTATCTTTTTTTTTGCAGAACCAGATATTGAACTCAGGCCCTTGCACTTGCCAGGGAAGCTCTTATTCCACTGAGACATCTCCCCAGCTCTGCTTCACTTACTTTTAAAAATTTATTTTAAAGAGAGTATAAATTAGAATTAAAATAGAAAAAATTACAAGTGATACAGAATTTCACTTAAAGCGATACAAATTTCACAATATTTGTTGTTCTACATAGTGTTGTCTTTCAACCAGTTATGCTTATTACCAGATATATGCCTGTAAAATTGGAGCAAGAAAGAAGAAAAAAATAAATATGTAAGAAATTAAGAAGAGAAAAAGTACAAACAATTGAAGACAGGAGATGAAACAAATTAAAGCCTTAACTGCTTCTTTCCATAGGCCAGCAGAAATGCACAGTACAGTTGTCCAAAACTATCCTGTGCTTACATGTGTAGATATATCTCTTTCCTCCACTCCCTCTCCAGTCCTTCTCTTCAACTCAGTAATACTTTCCTTTTGAGTAAGTTCATTCCCTTTTCCCAGAATGTATTGTACCATTCAGATAAAAACTTCATGTCACAGCAATATATGTGCACCCATGTTTATAGCAGCACAATTTTTCATAGTTAAATCCTGGAAACAACCCAGATGCTCACCAGCTGAAGAATGGATAAACAAGCTGTGGTGTTTTTATGCAGTGGAGCATTATTAAGCTTACAAAACATGACAAATTTGAGTCTTTTGTTGATAACTAGATGCAACTAGAGAATATACTCTTAAGTGAATTAAATCAGACTCACATGTGCAAACATTGTATTGTCTCAGTGTGACAACCTAAAAGATTTATTTCATTTACAAATACAGACTCTAGTTGCATCCATTTCCTTATAAAAGGCTTTAATTTATCTTTTTAATAGCTGAGTAATACTCCATTCTATAAAAATACCACATCTTTTTATCCATTCCTCATTTTATGGGCATTAGGATTGTTTCCAAGATATAGTTAGGACAAATTGCAATGTTATAAACATGAGTGCACATACATTGCTATGGTATGATGTTTTGGGTTCTTTTGGAAAAATACCCAGCAGGCAAATAGCGGGCTTGAATGGGTTCTTCAATGCTAGCCTTTTGAGGAATTCTCACACTGATTTCCAGAGTGGTTGTACCAGTCTGCACTACCACCAACAGTGGAGAAGGGTTCCTTTTCTCCCACAGCCTCTCCAGCATTAGTTATTGTTTGACTTCTTGATGAAAGCCATTCTTTCTGGGGTGAGATGGAGTCTCAGCATTGTTTTATATGTTTTGAGTATTAATCCCTTTTCAGATATATAGTTACAAGTGTTTTCTCCCATGCTGTAGATTGTCTCTTTACTTCATTGATTATTTTCTTTGCTCCATGAACATGATCCCATTTGTCTAGTTTTTTTCTTTTCTTATATTTTTTAGGTCTTATCCAAATATTCTCTCCTCATTTTGGTATTCTGAAGCATTCCCCTAGGTTTTTTTTCTCAATAGTCTCATAGGTTTAGGTGTAAAACTACATTTAAATCTGTAATAAAAAAATCCTTAATCCATTTATGAGTTGAATTTTTATAGGATGAGAGTTAGGGATCGAAGTCTTATTCTCAAGCTTGTGCATGAACAGTTTTCTGAGCACCATTTATTAAAGAAATCCCTTTCTCCCAGTATCCATAGATCGCTAGGTAGTATGGACATATTTATATTGATTTTTCCAATCCATGAACATGGGAAGTCATTCTATTTACTGTATTCTATTCAATATTCATATTTTGTACCTATTCCGAATGAAATTGCTTTGTTGTTTTCTAGTTTATATAATTCACTATTAGTACACAGCAGCGCTTCTAGTTCTTTTGCATGGTGGCTTTGTATCGTGTACTTTTGCTGAATTTGTTCATTACTTCCTTTAATTTTCTGACAGTGTCTTGAAGATTTCCTTTTTTGAAGTTTTCTTTTGTGTAACAAGGTTTTGTCTTGTACTTCAGGATAACCTTGAATTCACTATGTAGCCTAGGCTAGACTTGATCTTACAGCCATTTTGTTGCCTTAGTCTCCCAAATGCAAGGATTACATGTGTGTACCACCACACCTGGCTCTTAGAAGGATTTTTGACTTTTCCCTTTTTTGGTTTGGTGTTATTTTTGTTGTTGTTGTTGTTTTAATATAGGGTCTCAATGTGCAGCCTGGACTTGTAGTGATCCCCTGTCTCAGCCTCCCCAGTGCTGGGATTACAGGTGTATGCACCACCACACCCAGATATAATTTGATTTTTTGATAGTAGCTATTTGTTCTGGAGTAAGATTAAATCTCAGTATTGTTTTAATTTGTGTTTTTCTAATGGCTGGCAATCTTGAGTACTTTTTCATTTAGTTATTGGCCATTTTTTACTTCTTAGAATAAGTGCTTCTCTCAGCTGTCCATGTTTTTATTGGATCTCTAATTTGGGGGAGTCTAATTGTATACTTTATATATTTTAGATAGTTCTCTGTCTGAGAACTATGTGGAATGGGAGGGAGGGGCACCTGGTGAATCTAGTTCTGTTTCATTTTGTGCATATGTATTACATCTGCCAACAAACGCACCCTTTAACCTGTCCCTGTGCAGCTCTTTCTCCTACTCATTTTTGGAAGATTTCACCCATTTTAATTTCTTTGACTTGAGATCAATCCATTCTCATCTCAGCAGGATAACCTTCTTCTGTATTCTGAATTCTTCCTGCATTCAGTTTGGGAGCCAGTGCCAAGCAGCTCAGGTCTATAGAGGATTTATTTTGTGAGTTTCTTTTATTTTAGAATATTCAGGCATTAACTCAAAGGATAAATATATTTGTCTCCTACATTTTGTCAAGTTTTATGGTTGTTTATGGTAGCTGAGTTAATGTGCTCCCAGCAACTTCCTCATAGCTTAAAGATGAAGGTTAGCATTTTTATTCAAGGTTTAAGTATCATATAATTTTACTTGTGAAATATTTTAATAGATATCACTTAAGACAGAGATTTTTAAAGTGATAAACATATGTATTTATCATTCCTAACAAAATTTAAAATATTACCGAATATTCTGTTAATATTGTTTCCCATATCGTCTTAAATAAGTCTTCATATAATTAATTGTTCAAATTACATTGATAGTATTTGGTTGTCTTATATCTTAAATCCATTTTTTAAGTATACAGTATACAGCTCGGACTCATAGTGATCCTCCTGTATTCAGCTTCCCTAGCACTGGCATTACAGGTGTCTACCACCATGCCTGGTCTGTTGGCCAGCTCAGGGCATCTGGGGGCAGGGCCGGCATGGCCTGGGTTAATGGGGATTGAATCCTGGTTCCTGAGCTTGCCTAAGCAGGTGTTTAGTCTGCTGAGCTAGCTTGCCAGCCCTTTTAAATCCAATTTTAATAATTTCTCCCTCTCCACACGCTTTTTCCGTCATTCACTTCTTGAAGAAATCAACTTACTCTGCAGAATCTTCTGCATTTTAGATTTAACTAATTCTTTCTGGAGTAATAGAACTTGCTTCTCATCATGTATTCTCTGTAAAGAGGTTTAGTCTAGAGGTTTGAAGAGCTTCAGGTTTGCTTTTTTTTGTGACTTCATGAATGAGAGCCACTTTTTTCCTTTCAAATTAAGCCAGTGAGACCTACTGGGCTGTTGAAGTTATTGTCCTCTGATACATCTAGGCAAACTCTATTCACATTGTTCAAATTTACTTTTACTACATTCTAGCCTGGCTTTTCTCCTTTTCAAGTTACGCTATTGTTAGCTAATTTAAGCCATTCAATCCACAATAAAACACTTTCTATCAACTTTGGCCAATTTTTCTGATTAAATTATTTTGTTATGGTAGATTCACTTTCAGAACCATTTCTCCCAGGGCTTTATAGTATATGAGCAAAATTTTGCCATAAAATTTACCCTTTTACCTTTCCTAGTTAAAAAAATATACAGTGTAACTGTAGTGTAGACATACCTAAACACTGAAAAGGTTTTAAATGTGCTATTAAGCACGGAATGAGATACAACAGTAAGACATAAAGTATGTATTCTGACCTCCACTACAGTTTTGCAGGTGGCTGAGTATTTCATTGGTTCATCTGTTAAGCAGTTTAATTCTCCTATTGATTCCCCACCCAGCACATAGTCTGTGTTAACTATAGGGTAACATTTCTCCTCTGATTCCAAGAGAATGTGGTCAGCCTCCGAATCAGATTTTGTTCTTTGAAGCTGTTCAGGAGCAAAAAAAGAAAAACATACATATGATACTTATATTATCATTTATGTATTTCCATTTTGATTTCAACAATTAAAATTCTTTCATAAACATCATATTATTTTAAAAATACTTATTAATCCTTTTAAAGTATATTTGTTAAATTAGCAATGATTTAAAGACAAAATATTCCTAAATATGCTAATGTTTCTGATGTCACTATCTCAAGCAATTTATATTTACTTGAAATGGTTAAAGTCATATAAACATAAGATGGAAACAATTTATATTACAAACTAACGTCTTTAAATAGATGATCCTTTCATATATTCTTGTTATCTATGAGAAAGTATAGCTTAAACGTTGATGGGCATTTTTATCCATTGTGTCTGACCATAAAAATCAACATTTGGGTGGTTCCCCACTGTCCTACAAAAGATACTATGCAAGTCTTCACAGGGAAAGCTATTAAGTCTCTGTTTTATAAAGATTTTTGGTGCAGATTATCAGACATGCATTTATAAACATCTTGCTTTACCTTTACCATCCCTGAAATAATTATATAAATTCCAGTGGGTTCATCCTCTTCTTGAAATATATCGTTTCCGCAATCAAATGTTACAATCTTGGCCCTAGACTAAAAAGTCACAAAAGCATAACTTATAAACACTATTTTAACACTTGTATGGGATGTTAAAATTTAAGTACTTAAAGTTTCACATATGCAAAGTAAATATTCAATAAGATTGAAGATATTGTACTGATAATAAACTTTTTTTTTTTTTTTTGGTGGAACCAGGGATTGAACTCAGGCCCTTGTGCTTGCCAGGGAAGCACTTATTCCACTGAGCCATCTCTCTGGCCCCTTGATAATAAACTTGCAAAAGAAGACAGTAATTATGAATAACAAAGAGAGGAAAGTCGATATTCACGGAGAGTTTTTACTGCAGATTCAGGATATACAAAAAACAAGGAAAGAAGCAGTCTAGGAATAAGAATGTGGCAGGAGGAAAGTGCTTCCCCTTGTGAAGAGGAAGGGGGACAGATGTAAGTATCTCATGGTATTTACATGTTTCATATATTCATGCTCTTCACAGCTAATGAAGTCAATAAAATATTCATTTTAAGTATTTTATTTTATTTTTTGCATTTTTAGGGACGTGTCTACAGGGTTTTCAGGGTCTCACTAGTAGATCTGACTCGAAGTGATCCACCTCTTTACAGCCTTCCATGAGCTGGGATTACAAGCACGTGCCACCATACTCAGTCTCAATGGCCATCTCAGTACACTCTGGGGGTGGGGCCAGCATGGCAGGGGCAGGGATGGAAGACCCGGCCCCTGCTCTTGCTTGCAGGTGCTTTAATCCACTGAACTATTTGGCTGGCCCCTCCTTTAAAATATTTTAAACAGATGAAAAATATGAGTGTTTTTTTTTTGCCACCAAACATACAGAAAAAGAGAGTCATTAAGTCAAATGTATTTATTTGTTTCTTTCAGAAACATTTATTGACTATTCAATATTGAGTATTACTTTATGCAAAGTGATAGAGGCTGATTATTCAAAAGATAAATGACCTGGAAAAACATAGCAGGTGATAGAAATGTAAAAACTATTGTAATGTACCTAATGCTGTAATAAAAGTATGTATTGGACACAGTGGTAGCATCTTTGCTTTTCCAGGCTTATTATGGACCACAAGATGGTTTCTTGGTAAATAGTTAGACTCCAAAGCCTACTTCTTTAAGAATGGAGAGGCTTCTAGAGGTAAAATAAGAAAAAAAAAATCAAAACAAAACTTTAAACAAAGCAGAACAGAGGGTACGTCAATTCATACACCTACAATATTTAAATGGCAATGGAATACCCATCTCTGACAAAACTAAGCAAAAAAAGGGGACACAAATGAAGGACCATTTCGTATATGTTTGTACAAAATAGTCAGGATAGATACACAGCTACTTTCTCTTAATTCAATGAGAAGAAAGTTTTGTACTAATAGTGTTTGTGGACAGGATATCATGTCTGCATCTTGCACTATGAATAACCACTATGAAGACAACAATATGCAATGTATTAATTGTTGAAACTGTGCTAGTAATCGGTTTTGAAACTGTCTCATTGCTATTTGTTTCTCAATAAAATTAATAAAAAAGTAAAATATTACTCACAGATGAGTGGAGTTAGAAAACCATGAAAAGTATACAGGTTTGGTTCAGTAGAGATAAAATACAAAAGGGCTACAACAGTTGGGAAACAGCAGATGAAGGCGAAAACGGGTAGGAGGCAGATCGTGGAAGGATTTTGTGGTTCATTAGAAGGAATTTTGATTTTATCTTTAGATAATAAGAAATTAGGGAATGTTGAACTGGACTATCACAGTTAAATCCTTATTATTAAAAAGTGTATTTGTTGATACATTGAAGATGATACTATTAAACAATAAATATCTTACCTGGATGAGATCTATATACCTTGGGTTTTTCTCAAGCCATGGAATGTGATATGGGATTTCTCCAACAGTAATAGGCTTGATAATAGACTGAAAATCATGCATTTCTTTTTTCTTGGTCATGATTATCTAAGAGCACAAATTTGAAAGATAAAATGGAACCAAAAGTATTCATAAACATTAAAAATCTTATTGTTCTATTTCATATTCTTGATCTTTGGTGATTTTTGTTCTTCTATGGAAACACCTAATCTTTCCCCTCTTATACTATTTTTCTGTCCGCTTGTATAGTCGCTACTCTGGTCACACATTAAGATATTGCTTTCTAATTGTCGCTACTTCCTAAAGATAACTGCCACTCTTTTATCACCACTGTGTAGGTTTTACTGCTTTTGATTTTTATATGCATGAAATAAGGACTATGTATGTATCCAAGTGTGCCTGGTTTCATTTGCTCAACATTATGTTACTGAGACTCATTTACAATTTATATAAATTACTATTTATTGTCACTTGGGTTATTGCCATATGGATCTAAGTAATATGGCTATGAGCATGAGTATTTATTTGATATTCATATGTGCACCCTTCTGTTGGCTTTATGGTTGTCACGTATAATTGCTGGGTCATAAGATGCACACATGATCACCTTCAGGTAGATACTACCGTGTCAGGCTTAACTGTTTGGGGACGCCCCCCCAAGGACCAATAAACCCCATGTTGGGCATGTCTTGGTGGGTTACAGAGGCTTGACCTTAAGTTTCTAGCCCCTTACTCTGTGGCATTGTTTTCTTGCTCTGCTTCCTGGCCATGCCTTCCACCAAGATGTTTCTGCTTTGGATCCAGATAGCAATGGATAGAACCTCCTGAAACTGCAAGGCAAATTAGAAGCCTCTCCCTAAAGTGTCGTGCCTCAGTGGTAGGAAAGCTGTCTGTATAACTGCCAAACTGCTCTCCAAAGTGTTGCATTTATTTGTACTCCTGCTCTACGGTCTCAGTTCCACATCATTTTCTACACTTGACCTTGTCAACAAATAAAATGAGGACTTCTGGTGGCTGTGAATTAGTATTTCATTCTGGTTGCAATTTGCATTAGACTTATGATGATAATTTTTGACATCTTTATGTTTAGTGGCCATCAGATTCCATGGTTGTGAGGTTCCTTTCCATGTCTTTTGCCCATTTTTTGAAAAATAGAATTTTTGTCTTGTTTTTATTGATTTTTAAGTTTTTTTTTAAATTCTGAATATGAATCTTCCTTGGATATAGTCATCTTGAAAATATCCTCAGCTTTTTTGTATATTGTCTTTTCATCATCTTAATTTTTATTTACTTTATGTATATATGTATGTATTTTAGTACAGGGTCTACAGAGGCTCACTACGTAGCTAGGACTCGTAATTCTCCTGTTTTCAACCTCCAAAGGACTGGGATTACAGGCCCACACCACTATGCCCAGTCTCATTCACCAACTCAGCACACCCCCAGGGACAGGGCTGGCATGGCATGGAGATCGAAACTCCGTCCCCTAGCACTTGCCTAAGCAGGCACTTTAATCCGCTGAGCTATCCAGGATTATCTTAATTTTTAAATAAAGTATCATTTTTAATGCTACCTTTTGTTTTATTTAAGAAATCATTGCCCATGCCAGTATTATGAAAATTATGTTGTCATTTAGATTATATATATATAGAGAGAGAGATAGATAGATAGATAAAGATAGATAGATATATATCTTTATATCTATATCTCTATCTATCTATCTATCTATCTATCTATCTATCTATCTATATTTGGAATTGACTTTTTGTGTACAGTGTGAGACAAGTATTTAGGATAGGGTCTATAGGGTCTCATTATGTAGATCGAACTCATAGTGATTTTCCTGTTTTCAGCCTCCCAAATGCTGAGATTACAGACATGTGCCATCACGTCCAGTCTGAATCGCTGTCTCAGCACGCCCCGCGGGTAGGGCATGACAGGTAACACCAGCCATTGCACTTTGCCTAAGCAGGCGCTTTATTTCTCTGAGCTATCAGGCTGGCCCTTTCACTGCACAGATTGGACTCGTAGTGATCCTCCTGTTTTCAGCCTCTCAAGCAATGGGATTACTGGTGCATGACACCACACCCAGTCTCAGTTGCTGTCTCAGTGCGCTCTGGGGGCGGGGCCGGCATGGTGCGTTGGGGATGGAACCCTGGTCTCTGTGCCTGCCTAAACAAATGCTTTAGTCCGCTGAGCTGTCTGGCCCGCCCTGAAATTGAATTTCTGTACCAAGGATGTCAGGGGAGGCAATGGGAACGCACTCTTCCATTAGTAAACTCTTGAGCGTGGCTCCACAAAGGCTCTTGAAATGGAGGCAGATTTTGAGTCAGTGAAGTTCTGTGATCTCAGAGGAAGAGTTCAAGAATTTGGGTAAAAGCAGAGGAAGTGTCTGTGCTATTTCCTCGGCAAAGCTAAAAAGATTGTTATCTCACAGAGATTTTATAACAGAATTAGCTACCTTGGGGGAAAGGGAGGGCAAGGGAGTAAGAAATATTTGTCAACATGATTTTATTTTATTTGTTTTTGCGGAACCGGGGATTGAATTTAGGCCCTTGCACTTGCCAGGCAAGCGTTTACTCTATTGAGCTATCTCCCAGGCCCCTGTCAACATGATTTTAAGTAAGGAGATTTTTTTTTAATGTAAAATGCCTGAAAAATGATGATTTCTACTTTAAATAACAATGTATGTTGAGTTGTCAGAACTGACAGGAACAGACGGGCAGGCTGAACCCAAGCATATTTCTGGTGCATCAAAGGGGGTGATGCAAGCCAAACTAGAGAATGCCTTTACAAAGGAGAGATTCGACAACTTTAAGGTCAGAGTTCATATTTTCATTTTAGATACCTGGCCAGCGACAGACACAGAGTTTAACCTTCCTCCTTCCTTCCTTCCTTCCTTCCTTCCTTCCTTCCTTCCTTCCTTCCTTCCTTCCTTCCTTCCTTCCTTCCTTCCTTCCTTGTGCAGGACCTCACTAAACAGCTCCAACTCCTGTTTTCAGCCTCCCCAGCTCTGGGATTACAGGTGCACGCCCACCACACCCAGGCTCTAACTTTGCTTCTTCCCTTTATCCTTTACTTTCCTTAGGGATCCGCTTTCTATTTTAGAATGAGTGTGTGTCTCCATAAGGCTGGGTGTTGTGACACAATCTTTTTGACCTTAGAGTGGTAGAGTCTATTTGAAATAGATTTTTTTACATTGGCTAAACTGTAATCTGGGGTTAAAAACCCACCAACCAGCCATGGTCAGATAAAATGGTACAAATCTAGCCGCTGCCTTTTCTAGAAGTCATTCTCCTGGTAATAGGTAGGGAAGTGAGGAGGAAACCCAAGTGGAAGCAGATGTTAGAAACTTAGGCATTTTATTTGTTCATGCCATGGATCTTTGCTTTAGACTTGAAATCTGTACTTTGAAAGTGGCCTTTGACAAACAAATAATTCACAGTGTGATTTTTCTTGTGGTCTGCATCACGAAAATGTTATCGATCCAGATTTGAAAAAATTACATGTTAATTTGAATGTAAATTACTGTTTCTCAGAACCTAAATTTTCTCTTCAAAAGTTAATTCAGGATGTATGTATGTATTTCTTTAGCTTTCTGTATGCAGTGCTTCTGAAGGACTTTTCTTTTGTTCATGAATAGATGCCTTTATGGGTATGGAATTGTGTAAATATGTGTAGCTTTAAGGACTATTTCAGAAATGCCTTAGATGAAAGACATTTTATAAGGCTGTCAGAATTGCTATCTCTGAGATTTACATCTCATGTTGATTCATGATGCATGGTGTTTTGTTATTTACTTAAGATACTGATATTGTATTATATTTTTCCTGTCCTTTAGGTAAAAAATGACTGTTTGAGCCTTTCTGGTCCCAATAAATGTGAACAGGAAAAAAAAAAGTGTAACAACATGGGCTGGGAGTTAGCATGCCTAAGTCACAAAACTATCTCTGCCTTCTGAGATGTCAAACTTAGGGACAGCCATGCCTTCGTTTTCCCTCATAAAAACAGGGACAATAACATTCATGCCCAAGTTACACGGGTGCTTTAAGGATTAAGGAAGTAAGATTTGCCCTTGTTTTTCATGCTTTCTTTATACAGCTTTGTGGATTGTTTTCCTATGTTTTTTGAAAATTTCTCTTTAGTGTTTTATGTTTTTATTCAAGGAAGGGCTCCATTTTCTCAGACTTCACAACAGACTAAACTCTGTTAAACTAGAAATTAAACATTAGACTAACACTAAATGTATTTCTTTATTTACATGGGACTCACAGGCACTGTGTGGTAACGAACAACCTACACAAGTGCGAGCCACACTGGGCACCCCAGGAAAATCATGGCAAATGCAGGGCTTGATATACCATGTAGCAGCCAATATATTCTTTCAAAAATCAATTCACTTCTTATACAAATGATATTTGAGGGCTGGGCAAATAGCTCAGTGATTAAAGTAGTGAGACCCTGAACACCCTGTAGAACCTTCCCTAAAATACAATAATAAATACAATA